ATATATATTATACAGTACTTAATATAGGCCTGTAATAATCGCATAAATAGACAAATTAATGAAAATAGAATGCAGCATAAGTGATCTTTATGCCGTTAATGTTCTCAAAATCTTGTATATTTATACAGTTTAATAAATCATTAAAGTGATACGGTATGCAATTTTATGTTTAAGGTGTGTGGGCTTCTGACTGCGCCAGTAAAGGATATGCTTATAATATGTACATATGCATGTACATATGACGCATGTAGACCAACTGTTACTTAGGCAGGAGGCTGATAACAAACATACAAACACACACACACACACCCAAACACATAAAACATAAAATTCGATGAAGATATGATTTCCATGCGGAGGTAATAATGGGCCTGGTAATATATTAATAATAATAGTCATCATCATCATCATCATCATCATCATTATCATCACATCAGCAGCATCATAGAAGGCTTACAAGGAATAAAAACACAGAATGTAGTATGAAATTCAACGAAGTGCAAGCGATGAAAAGAAAATGAAAAAAAAAAGCAAGTAAGTAAAATTAAAGTTTCGGTTAAACGAAAGAATGAACGTTTACATTGAAATTGTATATGTTTTACGTTTACCATTATACCAAAAATTATTATTATTTGTGGAAAAAATGGAAATTTGTGAATGTAAGGGACAAAGGGTTACCAAGGAGAAAGGCATTTATAGTTACGTTACCGAAAAATGAAGAGAAACTTGTGACGTGATAATGCTCTCGAAAGCTATGTATATTGGAAATGCAGTAAACAATTTTAAATCATTATTTAGAGTGGCGTTTAAACGTTTCAAAATTCAGTGCATTATGCCATATATTGATATGTAAATTATTCCAATTGAACTATCTAATTAAATTTGGACCGCACATTTATATTTATGAAAATGTTAATGGAAAGGTAATGGTGATGAGCTGTCCGTCGTGTGGGGCATATTGTATGTGAAATTACATTAATACGCTTGTTTGCCCTAACTCAGGTTACACTTTACAATTTAATGCACGAATGACCGATGATATGACGTCATGACGCTCAAAAGCTAATTAAAGTTAGTAACATGCATCAATCCTATCAAGAAAATTTACATCGGCATTCAAAACCTTTTAAAATGTAATGCATTATAATATCATAAAACGTAATAATAATAATAATAATAATAATAATAATAATAATAATAATAATATGTCGTTCTTATATAGCGCTTCATGCCTTTACAAAGCCTCTAAGCGCTTCACATTACTACCCCGGTCATTGGATCGAACACATA